AGTTTATGTGTGCTTGGCAGCAGTATAGGACTGATAAAGCTTTCAAGGTCTTTTCTTTCAGTTAACTTGGTGCTTACTCTTAAGATACCTTCTTCGTCTTTAAAGACGCATAAAGATTTTAACCTGGCGATATCTTCGTCATTAAATGACTTTTGCTGAATCTGCTTCAGTAATATCTTTTCAGCCTCATTCAATTCGTACAATTTCAGCTCGCCAATCTCTCGTTCAGTTCTTGTTTTCTGAGCATTTTTGAGGAATCTTAGAATCCATGCCGTCATTCTTAAAATTTTTAAGTAACTCGAAAAATATGCTAGCATCCATGAATTTTCAGTGTTCTCGCAGGTAAGAGTTGCCACAACGGTTTTTCTCTGCTCTAAGTATATTTCCTCTTCATTTTCTATTGGGGTTGAATTAGGCCACTCTTCTTTAGACTTGGACAACCAAAGTGGGCCCTCCCACCATTTAGTTTCCAGAAGCTTTGAAACAGTGCATCCCCTAGATGGCAAGTCAGCAGGATTACTAATACCAGGAACATGTCTCCAATCCTTGGGATCACTACATTCACGTATTTTCTTCACTCTGTTACAAACGAATGTTCCCCAGGGTAGGTCATTCTTCTTAATCCAGAACAAGGCAGTTGTTGAATCCGTCCAATAATATGTTTCATTTATTTCCAGAGTTAAACTTTTCGTGACGAATTCAGATAACTTAGCGCCAATATAACAAGCTAATAATTCAAGTCTTGGAATCGTAATTTTTCGCAGTGGAGAAACTCTTGACTTCACCTGTAAAAGTTGCACTTTTATTTCATCTTGCGATTCATTTCTCAGAAAAATGGCAGTTGCGTACGAATATTTTGAAGCGTCAGCAAAATCATGCAAACTACTGGAAATTCTATTAAGGCGACTGCCTGGGTACGATGAAATTTTTTTTAAAAATTAATTTTTTTTTAAAAACATATGTGTTATTGGTTCATGTGTGACATAAAATGATATAAGCAANTAAATCCTCAAGCCAAACTAAGAATTCCTTTTTCAAATCTTCTGTTAATCTGGTATCCCAACTTAGTTTTTCTTGCCAACTTTTTTGCAGAATCAATTTTGGTATCAATGTGACTGGACAACTAAATCCAATTGGATCAAACATTCTTTGAGCCACAGATAACACTGTACGCCGTGTGATTGGCATATCTTTCATCTTCATTTTTGGTACATCACAAAACAAGGAATCTTCTCGTTTGTTCCACAGTAATCCAAGTACTTTAGTTACTTCCTCTTTTTCTTCATCTTCATCATTATGTATTTTCGTATGCTCCCAGCATCTTAAGTCAAATTTTCCTTTGCCCATTATTTCGGTCGATTTATTGATGAAGTTCCGCAATTCCTCTTCAGTATCCGCAGAAGTGACACAATTATCCACATAAAAAGAATATAATAACTTCTCGGCAATTTCAGAGTCAAACTGTCTCAAATGAAATTTGATAACTGCTCCAAGCAGAAACGGACTGCAGTTTACCCCGAACACTACACGACAATGTCTGAAAAGTTTTATTTCTGTTTTATTATCATCCTTCCACCACAAAAAACGTAAGTAGTCACGATCTTTATCATTTACTGAAATTTGAAGAAAGGCACCTTTTATATCGGAAATTACCCCAATGCTGTTTTCTCTAAATTTTAGAATTATCACGGGTATCAGTTCCAGCAAATTTGGCCCCTTGGCTAAGCAATCATTTAATGAAAAGGATCCTTTCTGTTTGGCAGATGCATCAAAAACGGGTCTCACCGGAGTTGTCAAGCTGTTTTTAAAAACTGCTCGGTGAGGAAGGTAATGTGCACTGTTGCCTTTAAGTTGTTCAGGGACTTCTTCTATAACACCTTCCTTACACCAATTTTCAAAAATTGCATTGTAGTCGAAAAATTTATTAGCTTCATTAAGTTTTGTTGTAGTTGATAGTAATCTTTTTTCGGCTACTTTTCTATTGTCGGGCAAGATGTTGGCTTCTTTGATCCATGGCAAATAAATTTCATACCGTCCTTCAGAATTCAATTTAACTGTTCTTTCGAAGTGCACTTGGACTGTGTCCTCTATTTCCCTTTGATCTTTTATTTCACATGCATCTGTTATACCTATTGCTTCAAGCTTCCAAAGGTTTTCTATGTCAGTGGTCTGAGTTAATAGAGAAATCAAAACATTCGAAAGATTGGCGTCAATTACTGAGGGTTTCATTTTCCCCATAATGACCCATCCTAAATAAGTCTCTACTGCAGTTAAACCACACGCCAAATTGCACACTTTCCCATTGTAAAGTTTTCCTGCTTCATCGGCTCCAATTAATAACTCAATAGGCTGTCGATGATTCCCAATATCACTAAGTGAGATGCCCTTCAGTACCATTTCCTGCATCCAAGGTCCATCATGAAGTCGTGGAACAAAACTGCAAATTTTATGTTGATCCAAAACATACATATTACAACTATAACTATTTTTCAAATCAGTAACTTTAATAGAAAAAAGATTATGAATTTCGCTGCTTGATTTTGACCCTCCAAATAAGCTATGAATCAATGTTTGAGTATCAATTTGGCGAAATTTCAGTTCCTCAACAGTGCTCTTCAGAATATATGAGCGTTGAGAGCCCGTGTCAATTAATGCTCTTATAGCACGCTTTCCTTCTTTACTCTCAATATTTACCATTAAAGTTTGAAGGAATATCTCTCCAGAACAGCAAGAATTCGCAAGTATTACATTTTGGCATTCACTCGAATCAATTACTTTTTCATCTTTTACTTCGTGCTTGTTTGGCGATAATTCTGCACACATGATCGACCAATGTCTCTTAGCACAAATTAGACATTTAACACTTGATTTGCAATATTTTGCTTTATGTCCAAACTTAAGACATATAAAGCAAGCTTTTTTATTCTTAATTAGTTCTTGCTTCTGATGGTAAGCCAATTTGGCTGCCGTAAAACAATCTTTACTCTCTTGGTTTTTGTCGCAAAATACACACCTTTTATCTACCACAGTCCTCGAGCTTTTACTTCCAGAAAATAACTCAATTGCTGTTGGTATAAATATATCAGTTTCAGTCTTCTTTTCTTTCTTAGTACCAGCAGCAATAAATTTGAATCCAGTTCTCACTAAAGAAATTCGTTGTTCTCCTTCTCCTTCGTTTCTCAGAAACAATAGCAGTTGCTTCAATTTTTCACAATACGTATTTTCTTGAACCTTTGTTGTTGAATAACTCCTTAACCAAACTCTTAAAATCTCTTCAGGAATGCACGATTCAACCAAAGGGAATAACATTGCTGCGTATTTGTCACTGGTCATTCCTATTGACTCTAAAGAACAAAGGTAGGATTCCAATTTATCGTATAAATGAGTTACATTTATTCTTCTCGGTTGTTCTGTGGCACTTTTAATAACTAGACTCAATAATTCTCTGACATAAAATTCAATTAACAATTCTTCACCACCAAATCTATTTTTTTAGCATTCAATAACCTTATCATAATTGTCAGCAGTGGCGGGGAAACTCTCCACGATTTCTCTAGCTCTGGAACCAACTACGGTTGCTTGATATAAATAATGGAATTTATCTTCTTTTTCCATTTCTAGGTCATCGTGGATACGCTTAAACTGATTCCAGAATGTAAGCCAATCCTTAATGTCACCTCCGAATTGTTTCAATTCAATCTTGGGTAACTTTAATTTTCGTCTGCTTAGCTTTGGCGACGAACTAAAGGAAGCCAAGGAAGGTTCAACTTTTTTATTGAAATGGTCTGCAATTTTCACGCGAGCGAGATCCATTTTTTCATTATACTCTTCTGTACTAGTAAGTTCCATTTCAAATTCTTCATCAGTTTCAAACTTTTTTTCTAGTACTTTTGAATCGAAATCATTTAATATTCCATAGAGTCGTTCTAACGTGGCACTTTTAAATTTTAATACTTCATCATCTGGTAAATCTTTATTTAATTCTTCAAATAAAGTATTAAACGTTTTGGTAAAGGAAGCTCTAGTAGCTCTGCGTTTCTTTTGTTTCTTTTTTGTAGTATACTGAATAAATAGTTAATTTAACTTAAAGTTGTCATGTTCAGTCAATACTTGCGTAACTCAATAATTTCTACAGGTTATGGACTCCAGCAAGCTATTTATGCGAAGTTAAAATAATGAAATAATTGAGTTTGGCGATAGTTAAGCGGAAGTGTTAGTGCTAATTTAATTCATATTCCGAAAGTCAGCAATTGCAGTTAGTTTTAAGTAATGGATCAAGGAAAAATCCAAGTGAAACCATTAAGTGGTAAAAGTGATTGGGTAATTTGGAAATACAGAATTAAGTTTGTTTTGAATTATCACGCAGATGCTCTGGAAGTTGTTGAAGGAAAGATGTACAAGCCAGAACTGCCTGAGCCAACAGCTTCTGAAACTATCAAAAAGAAATATAAGGATGATCTCAGAGATTTTAATAAGGCAAATAACTGTGCTATGATGGTGTTANAAAAGAATTAATTTGGCTTAAAAGACTCTTCAATGGAATTTCCTCCTTGACAGAAGTGCCAACAATTTTTGTTGATAATAGTGCAGCTGTCAGATTGGCTCAAAATCCCGAGTTTCATCGTAGAACGAAGCACATCAGTATAAAACATTTCTTCATTCGCGAAAAGGTTTTAGAAGAAGAAATTAGTGTGCAGCAGATCTCAACGGAGGTGCAAACTGCAGATATATTGACGAAGCCCTTGCCTAAGCCAAGACTTTTAAAGCTATGTGAAAAGATGGGACTCTTATGAACTCTTAACATTTAAGTGTTACTTAGAAATTAGTAGTTTAGTTTTTTTTCTTTTTAACAAGGGAAAGTATTGATGTAGATGTGTTAATAAGAAAGAAAAAACATTGGTATTTACATATTTAGGAAATCTGGGAACACATCAGCACTACTAATTTAACTTTCACCTATGAAGCCCGTGCTCTTTATTATTTTTTTATATATATTATGATCGTCGTTCCATTTTGTTTCTTTTTTGTAGCTAACTGAATAAATAGTTAATTTAACTTAAAGATGTCATGTTCAGTCAATACTTGCATAACTCAATAATTTCTACACTATTAAGTACTATTTGAACTAAAAAATAAACTATTGAACTAAAAGCCATAAGAAATGAACTAATTGAAAAGACTATTTCATTTAAGAGAAGCGTAAGAAATAGTCAACTATAATGTAATTGACGCCAATGCTTTTCTTAACTTTTCTATTACATATTAATTGAAACAAAAAATAACCTACTAAAGAGCAAAAGAAACAGAGAAATGGTTCTAGTTTACTTAGAAGAAAAGTCAAAAATCGCTATACTCTTTTTGATGTCAGTGATGTCTTATTACTTTAGGTAATAGGAACGAACTGAAATTAAAAGAAATTATATTAATAAGTTTTGTAATGTAACGCAAAATTAATGAAGCAAAGGTACTAATTGTGAGAAAAGTAAAAAATCGCTATGCAATTTTTGACTCCAGTAATGCTCAAATAATTATGGTAATAAGTGCTGAGTGAAATATAAAATTAAGCTACGTATTATAAAGCCAAATTGATGGAGAAATGCTATTAATCAATTTAGGAGAAGCATAAAAGAAAACTTGCATACTTTTATTGATGCAAAAGATAATTAATTATTTTTGGTAATATACACTAATGGTATTATGGTAATTGGCGCAGTTTTAATAAGTACCAAATAGACTAATATTGGTACAAAGTATTTCATGAGTAATTACGTTCGTAAATTTGGTGCTTATTAAAACTTCACCAATACCGTGCCTTTTTATTATATATATACTGTGTAAATAGATTTATTATGGCCCCTCGAAGGTATAAGTACAGAAGAAAATTCATCGATTGTTTTAAATTTAAAATATTATGAGTTTAGGAGCAACAGAATTATGCCAGATGATACTGAATAACGATTATCTTTATTTTGGTGGTATGAGATACTAAAAACATGTTTTGCTAAATTATTAACGTAAAGTCACCAAAAAGGGCGACGAATAACTAATAATAGAGAAGATATTGAAATTTTTTTTAGCTTAATTAATTGTGTAGGTATTTTGTATTTCAGTTTTATGCATGATTTCGTATTGTTCAGTACAGATTTTAATTAATAGATTTTTTCTCAACCTGTACAAAGAACGGATATTTTTTTCTAGTATTTGATTAATGTTTGGCATGAGAGAAATTTTGATATTATTATCAAGCGAATTAATAGACGTGAAACTTTTCACAAAATTTTCAGTTGCAGTTAGCATTACAATTTTAAAAAATATATTTTGATATAGACCCCCAAAGTTAATAGCACATGTGGCGCTTAAATCGCTTATGTTGCAATGCTTTGTTCTACTTCAGATTCTGATTACTGCTAGTTTTTTTGCGTTTCAGCAAAATTTTAATATTGGTGGTAATTTTTGGAATTCATATGAAGGACTCATCAAATTTCTTGATTGCGTTTTGGTATGATGGAGTTATTTTATACAATCATATGAATGAATGAAAATCAATTTAAAAAAGCCAAAAAAAAAGAAAAAAAAGGCGTGTTAAAATATGTAGTATATAGAACATTTTTTTTAAACTAATTTATTTTGTCCCAGATGCTTTACATCTAAAGCATAGGTGTCGCCAAAATAGCTTATTATATAAGTATGATATCAATGATGTGTTATCGTGAAATGTGGCGTTACATCATTTTTATCGAAAAAATTAAAACTTTCGTTCTATACAAGCTGTTCCATGACGCTGGCATTGACTGCATACTTACGCAAAGAAAAGAACTGCAAAATCCTGGTAAAAATAAAATAAAGTTATATCATGCGTTTTAAATTAGTTTCTGAATGAGAAAGCGCTTTAAAAAAATTTTTAAATCATTTTTTTTAAAATCATTATGGAAGGCGATTATAGCCGAAGAAAGATTAAAATTATAAAAAATAAGTCTATGATGGTAGGATAAGAATGTATGTACGTTTCATTACGAGCTAATAGCGTTCATCTTCAAACTGGATCTGTTTTTTACGGCTTACATTCCCTCCTTTTCGGCACCCTGATCGGCCTTGATAATCATTCGTTATTAATTGAAACCAGTTTAGTTTTTCTTTTCTTATTTACATATTGATTTATGATGTTAAATATTGATCTTAGTTATTCTTAAAACTATTACTACATGTATAGTCTCAAAGAAACTCTCTGTATAAATATACAAATTGTTCCGTTATGGCAAATATCAATATATATTGTAAATTTCTTGTAAAAAATAAAAATATAAGTGGATAGTAAGTGTTATTAAGCGAAGAAATATAAAAAAATATCGCAATCTAACATATCATAAGTGGTGAAGCGAAACTGAAAATTTCTATACTTGTTTGATTATGAAACTTGGGGGCGTTTCTAATCACTACTTTTTAACTCCTCCCCTTTTCGTTCGGCACTCAAATAGGTTTTGATGTTTTCATTCTAATCTTTCGCAATAAGCCAAATTATACTATAATTGTTTGTTTTCGTTCTGACATAAATATTAATTTACTACCCTTAATGTGAATACATTCTGATTTTATTTTTAATGAAGATTCTAAAAATATGTATTAAAGGTGGTCAGTAGGGATTGTCTTATTGTGCAAAATTAGGAAATTTAACTACTGACCAGTGGCTATGTGTAACATAATTAAAAGTGGTCATTATTTTAAAATATTGAAAATTTATGCAGATAAGAAACAAGAAACTGCTGATATTAATAATTTAAAGCATTTTTTTGTATCGTTTTTCCACATGTGTAACACTACGTAACATTGCAAGATTCATTTTTAAAGTGAAGAAAAGATTTTATAAACAAGCGTGAAATAAAGTAATTTTCAAAATATTATAAAATATTCGTAATTTGATATTTGTTAAAAAAAATTATTACAAAATACGCATGGGGTGCATTTTTGAGAAACAAAGCTGCGCTTTTTTATTATATTTGGCCACCCTGTTGCCAAGGGCGAGGGGTGTTGCTTTGTAGCAACGGAGTTCCTGTGCTACTAAGGCTCGCACCTCCGATTGAAATAAAATAAGGGAATTACAATAGCTGGGAATGTTAATCGAAAATAAATGAAAATGAGAAAATAGAAAATTGGGGAGAGGTCTAACTGGACCCTGTTGCCACCGACAACAGTTAATTTTGCCTTATAGAACATCTTGTGTACTGTAATCTACACAGAGCGTCAATGAAGCCTTTTAATATATTTATAAGATACAAACATAATTTTTATAAAACATGATTAAATATGCACATATTTAATACTAATTCCAAAAATTT